CGGTATTCTGAGGAACCTTATCTGTATATCGGTATCTAGTTCGGAAATCGGTATAAATACCGAAAAATCGGTATATCTGGCAACGTTGCGCCTACCTCGCATAACTGGTTCCAAACATAAAAAAGCTATAAGAAACCTACAGGGTTTGTTTACGTTTGGAACCAATTTCATACAAGAATGATCAGTAGGCTGATTTGACAGCACGTCCCATCCCAGATTTTTTTAGGTTAGCCAGAGGAAAATAATAATCAACTTTACACGGCGATGCACCCGCTAGTGTGCGTGCGTTAAACGTCACTAATCTCTATACGATTTCTGGAGCAACAGCTATTTCGCGGTAATGTAGGCCTAAATACCCCTAATTTGGGCCCATACTTAAATTCAGCAATCGAATAAATTTTCAATAGTGAACAAAATATCCATTAGTACCATCCCACAGCAGTGGTTCCAAGGGTATCAAAACACGCGCTTTTTTATTTACGCTGAAATGGTTGATTAAAGGTACTAGGTGTCTTCTGAGAAGTTTCTCGGGTTACAACACTCCTTCTTATGGTAAAAGAAAATTAAAGATTAATCCACCTAAAAGTGAGATGCAAAATTTATTTTTTCAATATAATAAGATACAAAATAATTGTGTTCGACAAAGCTGTAGGGAACATTACTGTGAACAACTTTGCTCAAGACTGTAACTTTCTAGCTCTTATAATTGCTGAGATATATCCCAGGGTAATGGGGATGAAAAAATTAAATCGAAGGCTCCTACTGCTCCACTTCCTGGCTGCAGTAAGGATTTTCCGCCATTACCCAACAAAGATAAGAAAAACAAAAAAGCTGCTCCTCAAACTTCTCAAAAGAAATCCAAGTCCGAAAGAAGTTTGCTAGCTTTTTCGGACATTGTGGAATTCATATTAAATATGTTCAACATACAAGACCCTCTTAGAAGCTTAGTTTCTGCCTTTCTTCCAACACTAGAATCATATCTTAAGCAATTGACTGTTTCATGGCTCCTCCTTGCATCTTTCGATGAATAATTCGTCGAACGAGGTTGAAGATATGATCACTGTGCTGCAGTGGAACTGCCGTAGTCTAGTGCCTAAACTAGACTCGTTCAAATTTTTACTTCACAATTCTGATTGTGATATATTTGCTCTCTGTAAAACATGACTTTCTTCCGATAAAGAACTCTTCCACGATTTTAACATTATACGCCTGGATAGAAACGATTGCTATGGAGGAGTACTTTTAGGGATCAAAAAGTGCTACCCTTTCTACAAAATTTCCCATCCTGCTCTATCAGGCGTCGAAATCCTCGCTTGCCAAATAAATGTGAAGAACAAAAACCTTTGCATAGCTTCAGTTTATGTTCCACCAAGAACCTCCATTAGCCGTAGTCAACTCTGGAATCTTGTTTCGATTCTTCCATCTCCAGTATTAATTCTGGGTGATATGAACTCCCATGGTACTGGGTGGTGCGATCTATATGACGACAATAGAGCGGCTATTTTTTACGATTTATGCGACGATTTCAACTTGACTATTGTAAACACTGGTGAAGCGACACGTATAGCAAAACCTCCGGCTCGAGAAAGCCGACTCGACCTATCTTTGCGTTCAAGATCGCTACCATTGGATTGTCTGTGGAAGGTTATCAATGATCCCCATGGTAGTGATCATTTGCCAATCATCATTTCAATTAAGTGTGCCCCTCACTCTGTAGAACCATCTTGAGTTCCATTTGATCTTACAAGGAACATCGACTGGCAGAAATATGCAACGACGGTGACAATCGGTATCGAATCAATAGATACGCTCCCACCATTGGAAGAATATCGATTCCTCACCGATTTGATATACAAAAGCTCACTGGAAGCACAAAAAAGAAAAGTTCCAAGTGCGCCCTACAAAAGGAGACCAGCCACACCTGGATGGGACGAAGAATACACAAAATTGTATGTGGAAAAATCTGATGCTTTCAAAGCTTTTCGTAGACAAAAAACTTCCACATATTTTGAGGACTATTCAAAGCTTGAGACAAAGCTGAAACAATTAGTCAAAGAAAAAAAAAGCGGTTATTGGCGCAATTTCATCGAGGGACTCTCACGAGAAACCTCAATGAACACCTTGTGGAGGGTGGCTCGCAACATGCGTAACCGCTTATCTTCCAATGAGAGTGAAGAATACTCCAACCGATGGATATTCGATTTCGCTAAAAAGGTCTGTCCGGACTCAGCTCCAGCAAAATACATTCTTCGAGAAGCGTCTCCGAGCGGCAGCTCTCTGGATAGACCATTCACAATGCTGGAATTCTCTATGGCTCTTCTTTCATCGAACAACTCCTCACCGGGAAGCGATATGATTAAATTCAATCTTCTGAAAAATCTCCCAGATATCGCTAAAAGACGCTTGCTAGACTTATTCAATTCCTTACTAGAAAACAACATTATACCATCTGAATGAAGACAGGTCAAAGTAATAGCCATTCGAAAACCTGGCAAACCAGCGTCTGACCATAACTCATACCGTCCGATTGCGATGCTTCCGTGCATTAGGAAATTGTTGGAGAAAATGATCCTTCGGAGACTCGATCAGTGGGTCGAATCAAATAACTTGCTATCAAATACACAGTTTGGGTTCCGCAAGAGCAAAGGAACAAACGATTGTCTAGCGCTGCTTTCCACAGATATTCAACTGGCCTTTGCGCACAAGGAGCAATTGGCTTCAGTATTCTTGGACATTAGGGAGCTTTTGATTCAGTTTCCATTGAAATTATGTCAGACAATCTGCACAGATGTGGACTTTCTGGAATTTTAAATAATTTCTTTTACAATTTGTTGTCAGAAAAGCAAATGAACTTTTCTCTTGGACAACTGACAACTTCCAGAATTAGTTACATGGGCCTGCCCCAAGGCTCATGTCTCAGCCCTCTTCTTTATTACTTTTATGTAAAAGATATCGACAACTGTTTGGCAGAACAATGCACGCTAAGACAACTTGCAGATGACGGTGTGGTTTCCGTAAGAGGTCCACATGCCGTGGACTTGCAAGGACCATTGCAAAATTCCTTAGATAACTTGTCTTCTTGGGCTATGAATCTAGGGATCGAATTCTCGCCGCATAAAACTGAACTGGTAGTGTTTACTCGAAAGCGGTACCCAGCCCAAATGCAGCTTAATCTTTTGGGCAGAAACATTACTCAATCAATGTCTTTCAAGTACTTTGGGGTCTGGTTTGATTCAAAGTGCACTTGGAATACCCATATTACGTATTTGAAGCAAAAATGTCAGCAGAGGATCAACTTTCTCCGTTCAATTTGCGGCACATGGTGGGGTGCTCATCCGGGAGACCTCATAACGCTTTATAAAACAACTATTCTCTCTGTTCTAGAGTACGGCTCTTTCTGCTTTCTCTAGGCAAGAAAATGTCACCTAATAAAATTGGAACGAATTCAATATCGTTGTCTGCGTATTGCTCTCGGCTGTATGCACTCAACGCATAACATGAGTCTCGAGGTTCTGGCAGGAGTAAAACCCCTCCAGAACCGTTTCTGGGAGCTCTCTCTCAGAATACTAATTAAATGCGGAGTGACGAACACACTTATAATTGAAAATTTTGAAGAAATTCTTGGGCTGAACACACAATCTTGATTTATGAGAATCTACCACCACTACATATCGTCGTATATGTGTCTTCCTTGTTATACTCCAGACCGTGCTTACTTCACCAATCGCAGTTCCTCAATTGAATATGATCTGTACATGAAACAAGTGATTCATGGGATTCCAGATCAACTTCGAACTATTATTATCCCGCGTGTTTCTACTGAAAAGTACCAACACGTCAATTGCATGAAAAGATATTTTACAGACATGTCACGTCTCAATGGATCCACTGGCTTCGGTGTCTTCAATGAAAACTCTAGCGCCTTCCGCAAACTTCAGGAACCTTGTTCCGTTTTTGTTGCTGAGCTGGCAGCAATCAACTTCGCATTGGGGATGATTTCCAACATTCCCGCGTGATGAGTAGACTTATGTCCAACCACTACTCGCTAGATGCTCATCTCAATAGAATAAACCTCGTAAACAGCAACATCTGTCGGTGTGGAAACGGTTACGATGACATCGATCACGCAGTTTGGCAATATACGGATAATGACGAAGCCAGAGAGCGACTTTTGAATACCCTCGAGGCCCAAGGAAGACAACCCTATATCCCTTTCAGAGACGTGTTGGGTACCCGCGATCTCTGCTATATGCAGTCGATTTATGTGTTTCTTCAAATGTCTAGTATAAGAATTTAATTCCTTTGTCTTTTGTCTCTCTTTAATAGTCGATGAGTCTCATCCTCGCCCACTGGTCACCATAGCCGGTTGAACTCCAGACGAATCTAGAACCACACTACCATTCATACTGGCGACATCGCTCTGATGAGACAACGAAACCCTACCCCAAGCTCCTCCCCTTTTCCTATCCTTCGACAATGTAGCCCTCTAACCTCGAGTAAGCCGCGAGTATTCGGCCCAACTCCTACTAGACATATAATTAAGTGAATTTTGTTACAAACAAAGAACAATGAATTATCGGCTCCGTAAAGCTAACGCGATTGAGCCTTACAAGTAGACGAACTAGATAAAAACAAAAAAGTTAAGTAGCAGTTTTGGCTTTTTATTTTTGAAGAAAATAAAAACGGTAAATCAATATTAGTGATCTATCTGCTGGGAAACATTTTCCTGCCTGATGGTGGTGATAGTTGGGGGCGGGATAAGAGTTTCGACAAATGGACGTTTGAATCTTTGTGTACAAACGCAGATATGTCTTTTTTCAATTCTATCTTGGGATCATATTTGGTGTACGTACCTACAGGAAAACAAACGACGTTTTTGAGATGAGTCTTCTGGGTTTTTTTTTCGTGTGAAATGCGCAATAGCCTCAAGAGATATTTGCTGCTCCGCCAGCTATGAAGTCATCGTTCTACAGACAAGAAGACCCCCATTTCAACCAACATTCAAAAACTATATATTTTTTTTTTTTTTTCCATTTTGTATTTTCTTCGCAAACAATAGTCTTACATAGACACTAAAAAAATAGATACAATACAATACTTGTTTATTTTTATTTTGTTTTGTTCTGATTTAAACCCGAATTGCCTCTGCGCACGCACGACCAACCCACGTGTGAAACATTTGCTAATGTGTTTTAGTACTTTTTGCGGGTCTTTTTTGGTCCAAGCCAGACGTTTTCAAATATAACATCCTTCGACAATATCAACCTTATTATGCATTTTGTTTTGTTTTGTTTTGTTTTGTTGCATATGCGCAGGCTACTTATTATTAGCCAGTGTTCCACTAGAAAATAAAGCCATCGATAAATGCCACCACGTTTCAATCTTTGATATCCAGCGATAAATTAGTTTATTTTTTTTAGATTAAATTTTGTTTTCATTTTTTTTTGTAAAAAACTTGCTGTGTATACCGTAAATATCGACATTATTACATAATTCTTTCGTTTTATTTTGTAAAAAGCTATTCTTGCACTTGTACACACAAAATATTTGTTGTTCTTCTTGTTGCTGAGTTATCCGATTAATATCTGTGAATCTGATTGTGTGTGTACTATGTTATCAAAAGTTTGTCATTCAAGGCACTAAAATTCAATGTGTGGTATTCGACTTTTACGCACTTTGTTTGCTCGTATATTTGTGTACTTCAAGCTTTTGGTATGTGGATGGTTGATTTGTAATATGAAGCTTCCCAAACACGTCTAGTACTCTGCTAAATGTATCAAACAAACAGTAGTTGTGATTACACTAATCGGTGAGTTAAAACTAATTCTGGTGGTTTAAAAAAGGTGAACAAACAAACAATGTAACGAATAAAAACTTACACTCTACGGGTTTGAAACGGGGAATGTACTGATAAACTTGGTTTGTGATTGGTCGAACTAATACTAAGTAGATTATCTTAGGTTTATTCACTAAGAAATAAAAACACCACAACAGCGGAGAAATAAATATTCGTCCAGTTCTTTTCTTCTTCTCTTAATGGTAAAGTGAATTCTTCTATTGACTAGATGGAAAGTAATGCCCTGTGGTCTGCCCAACGAAACAATCAGAATTCTATGGACAGAATGTACATTTTTGTTGTGAAATCTTGCTGCAGAAAACTTTAACTCCTTGCTCCTTCAAAACATTCAACTGTATTTTTTTTTCAATAATTACCTATTTTTTAAATATTGATTTATTTATTTGACAATGATTTATGAAATCACGATAAAACGTAACAAAGTAACACTCTTTTTGTGAATACGAGGCCGCTGAAATCAACTTAGAAACTTAAAAATCAAACAATATGAATTTTATTCTCTCATAAATTATCTTTTTTTTCCAAGAATGGTTGAAATTCTTTCAGTATTGAGTTGTTTCCAACGACCGTAGGTGGGATGATTCGATGAAAACGCATAACGCCCGTTGGTTGTTGTCTCGGAAAAATAACGTTTATTCGGCTATCGGTGGTAACGCAAGTTAACGATGTGTGATGCGTGTGGTTGCTGTTCATGCTGCTCGAATAGGTTTCGCGAATCGCAGACGCGTGCTTGCGGTCGTTGAGATGGTGATTATCGCTCTCTCGTTCACACAACACGTGCTCGCGAGCGAGTGACCAAGAAGAGCTTTTATTGCATTGGAAAGGAGGCCAACAGCATGGTGTGAGTGGTAAAATGTGTGTGTTGTGTTTGTTGAACGGTCGTTTAGCTTCTTTCATTGATGGAATTTCCGTCTAAGGGGATTTTCACCTCCTACATACATACTTTCCACATCCACAAGACCAATGAGATCAACCCAAATTTAAGTTCTGTTTACTCATAAATCGCAAAAAGTGCAGGAACTCAACTTTTTCATATCCGGGATTTTTTTCCTGGAAAAACATGAGACAAATTTTCTCATCGCTGAGCTCCTGCACTCTTTGCGATTTATGAGTAAACTTAACTTAAGTTTGGGTTGATCTCATTGGCCGTGTTCGTGAAATTAAAATTCATCACATCAGTGCATCTTGACATTTTGGAACCGCTCAATTTTTAAAGATATCCTCTAACTGACACTTGTTTCCGTTAGCAGACTTTCAGTTCAAAGGCATGAAGTATAGGTTAAAGGTCTTTTAATTAGCGAACGTTGAGCGAATTCCTCTAACACTTAGGTTCAGTTAGTTTGAGCTCTCATATTGAATTTTGTTTCTGGTACGACTAGTACGAAGCCGTGTAGAAGCTCCCGTGAAATGATGATCGTCGATCGTCGATTTAGAGAAAAATTCATTAGTCGAAGCAACTGCAGCTTCTCGTAGAGGAAGATTGCTATATCTACTTACTACAATATGAGTGTGTTGTGATGCATGAGGAATCGACGTTTAGCTCAGTTTTGTCGTCAGCAAGACCATCACCCTAAGCGCTCAAATTTGGCCCATCGATGCTCTAAAACAAGATGCATGTAATGGTATTGCCGAAGCCGTCAGCTACCCTACATGGGCCCTTTTCTCATGTTTGTCTCCAATGAGTAGTGCAATTGACAATTCTAGCATGCTAAGTATTTCCATCGTATTTTAAAGATACAGGTCGGCCCTTGTTGAAATTATGCCAAGACGCTTGCAAGCCATCATTGAAGCTAAAGGTGGCCATTAGACTGATGCAAAATTTGACTTTTTCGCTCCACAGTGCTTAAATGGTTTCAAATCGGGTCCTGATTAGCCTCCCAAAGTTACAACTCATTTGGTTAGAAACAGACATCGCACAAGCCATTTGAAGTTTATATGTAAATTACTATAGGAAATCTCAACTTTTTGTTCATTGCCTTCTAGTATTTTTCCATATTGAGCTGCGAAACAGTTCGGTAGCCATTCTTATAGAAAATTTTCCCAGCTACAACTTTGCTCAAGATACATAGAAATAGTAAAACGAGACAGGAAAAAGTTATTAATTATGCAAGAGATTGGTAAACTTATGACAGGATCAAGCAGCTGCTCTTTAGGCAACACTGTATTTTGCAGAGTGACATAGTAGCCATGATTTTTGTGTCCTATTCAACGCCCCAGAAACACCAATGTTGCCTTCTGAGCAGTTGATTGAGCATGATCATAAGACATCAGCGCATTGAACCAATGATAACTTTTGATCCTTGCATTTAATCAAAAAGTGGTCTTTAGCAAAGTTGTAGCTGGAAAAATTTCCTACAAGTAAAGCTCAAAACTTTTGAAGCAGATCGATAAAATGAATTATTAGATGGACATGAACAAAAATCTTGGTTTTACCATAGTAATTCCCATACAAACTTCAAATGGTTTGTGCCATCTCAGTTTCTCACCAAATGGGTTCAAATTTTGAGAGGTTAGTCAGGATCCGATTTGGAATCGTTTAAGTATTGTGGAGAGAAAATTTCAAATTTTGCATCACTCTAGTGGCCATACTAAGTATTCGTTTTAAGAATAAGCATTGAAAATGCTGAATTTATTGTACTTTACTTTGTTCAAGAAAAGGACAGTTTTCCAATAAATGTTGCTATCAAATAGTTGGCCAATCTCATGGCCTGGAACAAAGTAAATTTATAATGCTAATTTCGATCGAACACGTCAAAAAGCTGTCTATAATAAATATTAAGAAAATCAAGAAAACTCGCCATTATCAGAGGTGCGTACTTTATTTTAACCAGTATTGTATACTGAGGCGCACTTGAAAATAATAATAACTTTTTGTCTAGCAGTCGAATCGATTTACGGTTTTCGACAAAGTTGTTCCGCTTAGTATATTGAATATACAGTGTATCTCAAAATTGAGCGTACAGATGTCCTTAAATTTTAGAAAAACAGCTTTAAAAGCACAATTTAAAGAGATACGTTTCTGAATTTCTGGCTGCTGAATCATCATTATTTTATCAGTTATTGGTACAGTGTTGGACTTATTTTGTTGCGTTTATTAAAAGTAAGAGCTATTTGAGAAAAACGCCTTTTCCTTGAAAAACCTTAATATCTTGAAATATAATGAACTAAGCTCTTTGAAATTTTGCTCATATTTAGTCATAATAAAGATCATTCATATTCCATTAATTTTACTAAAGTTCGTGCACTAGGTAAAAAGTTGAAAATCGTGCCTTTTACTAAAATAAACCTAACTTAATACAGATTATTCCAATAAAGTCCAAAGTCCTGTTCCACTAGGGTGTACGCTCAATTTTCCGATACACTTATATCCGAGGTTTAGTAAAAATTGAGCTATTTTTTGAATCTTTGATAGTTAGGGGAAATATAGGTAATGTCGGCTTACATGTCCCTAATTTGGGCCCATACATAAATTCAGCAATCGACTAAATTTTCAACGCGACCAAAAATATCCATTTACGCGTTCATCTAGATAAAATTGATAAAAAGCAGACTTTTAGCGATGGGCCCAAATTAGGGACATGTAGGCCTACATTACCTACATTTCCCCTATATGAACAGTATTGCTCTATTACCGATACATTTCCCATTCTAACTTTATAGGTCTCCTGTAAATCCAAATTTGATAAAATTTTGCTCATCGGCAGAGAGCAGGGGGTTGTTAAGTTAATCCAACTAGCGCTCATGGACCCATTTAACAAATGGCTTCAAAGGCCGCTGAAATGTCAGACTCAACCACGAGTATAAGCGGTTAAGTCGTCTCTGTTTTCAACGCTATCAAAGAAGGATTCAACGGCGGCTAAAATCACACCCGAAATCCTTCTGGAACTTCGTAAATGAGCAACGCAGGGTAGTCGGTTTACCCTCCTTCATGATTTTGAATGGTGAAACTGCTGACAATCAACAAGACATTTGCAACCTGTTCTCAGCCAAATTTGCTAGTGTGTTTGAAGACGAGCAACTTTCCGCTAATCTCATTACTTTCGCGGCCAGTAATGTTCCTTCGGTTAACCAAACGCTCAGCACTACAGATACGATTTCTAGAGTAGCATCTAAACTTAAGACTTCAACTAAGGCTGGACCCGATGGTGTTCCGTCGATTATTCTTGAAAAGAACATCACTTGTCTTTTAGATTTTTCACTGCGCCGCATATTCCAGCTCTCTCTTTCCAGCGGCATCTTTCAGTCTTGCTGGAAGACTTCGGATATGTTTCCTGTTCATAAAAAGGGAAGCAAACGTGACGTAAACAACTACCGGGGAATCACGTCGCTGAGTGCTGTATCAAAACTTTTTGAATTGGTTGTCATAGAGTCCCTAAATGCGCATTGCAAGCAATATATAGATCAACACGGATTCATAACTGGGCGTTCCACAACTACGAACCTGCTGTGCCCAACGTCTTACATAACGCGCATTGCAAGCAATATATAGATCAACACGGATTCATAACTGGGCGTTCCACAACTACGAACCTGCTGTGCCTAACGTCTTACATAACAGACAGTTTGATTGCTCGGACCCAAACGGACGTTATCTACACTAAGCTTGATAGGCTAGGGATCGGTAGAAATCTTTTGAGATGGTTTCGTTCATACCTCACGGAGCGCCAACTGACAGTAACTTTGGGTACTTGTCGCTTAGCAAGCTTCTGCGCAAAGTCCGGTATACCTCAGGGTAGCCAGGGTGACCATGTTATCACAGGGCCACGATTATCGTGTGCAGACGATCTGAAAGTTTTTCTGCGCATCCGCTCACTCGCCGACTGCCGTTCTCTTCAAAATCAGATTGACATCTTTGCTGACTGGTGCAGTCTAAATCGACTGGTGGTCAACCCAGCTAAGTGTACAGTCATTACTTTCTCACGCAAGAAACAACCGATTATTTTCAACTACAAACTACTAGGCACGACTATTGAACGGGTGCATTGCGTCAAAGACTCAGGCGTTTTTCTAGACTCAAAGCTGACATACTCACACCATATATCGTATGTCGTCGATAAAGCGTCCAGAACTCTTGGCTTTGTCTTCAAGATTACTAAGAACTTCACAGACATTTACTGCTTGAAATCGCTCTATTGCTCTCTCGTACGATCTACGTTGGAATACTGCCCAAGTAACATTGCAGGTTTTATCGCGGTTTTGTAGCATTCTACAAGCCTAAATCATGGTCTACAGAACCCCCATAAACCAAAATTGTTACTTGGGTGCTCTGCAGTCTGGAGCCCGAACAACAATAATGGGGCCGAGCGAATTGAATCTGTGCAACGACGTTTTCTTCGCTTCGCGCTCCGTAAGCTGCCTTGGAGATACCCATTTCCTCTTCCAAGCTACGAGAGTCCCTACCAATTGATCAATGTCGAGCCCTTACGTATCCGAAGAGATGTTTTCAGAGCCTTAACCGTCGCCGATACTCTGCAAGGAAGAATCAACTGCGAAGCAATTCTGAAACATGTGAACATTAATGTTCAACCTCGGTCACTACGCAACAGTCTTATGCTGAGACTTCCACTCCTTCGAACTAATCCTAGCTTAGGGAGCGCTATTTATGGCTTGCAGCGAGTGTTCAACCGAGTAGCGTCGATGTTCGATTTTCTAGTCTGTTGATGCAAACATAACAAATAAACAAATAAACAAAGCATCAGATGAGCGCAGAGAGTGTTCATAGATCCACTCATAATTGCGGGTGGTTTCAGCCATTGTTGAAGAAAGTGAGATGAAAATTGATCAAAAATCAGAACGAAAGTTGTTTGCCAGTTATTTCAGGAACAAGAAATAAAATAAATTTAAACCGTTGGGCACATGAACCCAGTGCAGTTAATTTTAATTTATCTACAGCAACGAAATAAAAAAAAGTTCGATTATCCGGAGTGACATTTTTTTCAAGCCTCAGAATAATTGAGTCCGACCTTTACCATAAACACTGAAGTCTTTAAGCATCATTGCTTCAATCATCATTATTTAAAAACGCAGCAGGCTCAGCTCGAGAGTGAATAATGTTTATTGACGCTGTCACGTGCACGTGTTTGTTCCGTATTAAATTTTCCTGCATGCACTTTGACTGCAATTGCACTGGTGAATATTTGTCAATCACTAAATTTTCCAATAATTTCGCATGTGTAGGAAGCTCCTGTGTTGGACGAAGAAAGGGTTTGTTTTCATTACCGCGAGTGAATAAACTAGTGACATTCCTGAGACACAGCTAAAAATCCACTACAAATGTATGCGCGCTTGATTTGGAAACAGCATGTTGTGAAATCTAGAAGTGAGTTTGTAGTGACATAATCTATCTGATAACGGTATTGTTTACATGGGGCGTTAGTTTACAAACATGCTGAAATGGTTTGCTGGATCCGAAATAGAGCTATCACCTTCTATCGGCCAAATTAAAGCTGCTTACAATTACCATTATATCAATTAAGGCATTTGCTGGCAAATTTCTTCCAGAATCTATAAATGCTTGATCGAATCAACAACCTCACCATGCCCGAGGCTTACCACCTTCATCATCATCATCATCATAAACATCATATTGACAATGTCGAGGCTTACCTACTGCCGGCTGTGATCTGCAAACTATCGAGAAGTCACATAGCAAGCTACCATGTAGCATGCGGTTTATACAGCGACACGGTCATTCAATTGCACACACACACACACACATCAGTACACGGTCAACCAGAAAAGTGAACCATTTTTCGCACCACCCATCTCACGCTATTTTTCCAGAGCATTTCGACATCGCGTATGTACATCTAGGAACCAACCGACAACCTAGTAGAGCGAAAGAAAACAACATCACAACCACAACAACAATGATATGACAAGAGCAACAACAATTTGCTCCGTACAACGATGCGCAAATCAAAAACAAATGGCCTTTGATAAGCCGCACACGCTGGCCGGACACGCAACGGGCGGCCTAATATAAGTGGGATTAAGGTTTCGCTGCCATCATGCTCGGTGGTGATCACGCTGCGGACCTACGAGAAGGTCGATTTCCGCCGTTGCCGTTGTTTCGCAAATTGCTGCTGCTGCCGTTGCTGTTGTTGCTGCTGTTGTTGTTTGCGATAGTTTTCCGCTAGTTTCTCGACGTAATCGATACGTTCTAGCCGGACGAAGGGAACACGTCGGTCAAAGCCGGACGGAAGGGCATGCGATAGCGTGGCGGTAGCAGTTCCGTTAGTGGTTGTGCTCGTTGCCTTGCTCGAAGGTGAAGGTTTATTTGGGTAATTTACCCGAATGAGCCCGCTGCTTCGTTGAGAGCAGTTGGCAAGCTTACTTCTAGCGTCGTTACTACTGCTGCCGCTACTACCACTGCTGTTTCGTCTACTGATCCGTCGGTGGCTCGGCCTTGACGATCCGTTGTCAGTGGACACAGGTATGGCAAGTGCTTGGTTGAATATTTTGTACGACGGAATGAATAGCTTCCTTGGTGCTTCACGGTTGTTGTTTACGTTGACAACAACGTTTGGACCACAGTTTGCGGCAGTCAAACAACGTGTCCTGACGGCAGCGGGTGACGAGGAATTTGAGGTGTTTGGGCTTCCCGTTGATGGCGTTGGGCTATTGGTCTTTTTGTACATCTGTTCTATGCTGAGCAAACTCTCCGCGAAGCTAAGTTTCTTTTTCTTCACCAGAGGCGAAATATTAGTGGATCGTCGGACAAATCCTCGTGACCTGCTGTCCGAGCTGTTACTGCTGTTGTCCTCTTCTTTGGCAAACTGCTGAGATTCTACCTTGGCCGGTTTGGTTAATGTACTTAAGTCTAGTTGATTGTTATTAGTTTCGATTATGCGATCACCAACAGAAGAGCTACTGGACTGATTGGACGATTCCTCCGAAAGGCTTCCACTGGATCGTTGTACGATCTCAGCCTCCGTCACTGCTTCCTCGCTTTCTGAACTGTTTCCACTGGCTGAACCAGATGAACTGCTTCCACTGCTACTGTCACTACTGCTTGAACTGCTCGCACTCGACGCAGAGCTACTGTTGCTGTCACTGTCTACGTCGCTGACAGCACTTCGGCGCATAGTTGCGATCTTGCGCCTTAAGCAGTTTAGCTTTCTGCTGAAAAACCTTCGCTTCGATTGCATTCCTCGATCCTTTATTCGGATGAACCGTAAATAATAGACGTACTTTCGCAACAACTTTAACCTGCAGGTCAAAGATCTACCCTTAGGTATCATATACTTTTCTCTCAGGTCCCTTATCAAACTTTCCCTGCGATGAGCTTCTTTGTTGATAGGAACTACCTCCTCATATTGTATGCATTCATCTTCGCCAACGAACGAGTAGAATTCATTGTCAAGCACCTGTTCGTCTAGCGTTTGACCGGGTCGTCTAGCTGCTTCATCCTCTTCGTCCGAGCTGGTAGTCATCATCCTTTCGATTTCACGTTCAACTTTCCTGTAGATTTCGTTTTCGCTATCGGACAATGAATGATTGCTCTCTAGTACATACCGAACATTTCCACTGCAGTCAGCTCCACCGAGAAATATCTCATGTTCATCACTCACTTCTTCCGGCGCCACGACGACATCGCCTTCCATGTCTTCGCTTTCTCTCAACAAATCCTCGATCGATCCATGGTCTTCTTCAACTATGAACACTCTGCCCGAATCTTCCTTCTCCTGCTCGACCAATTCCTCTTCGTTGATGATGCACAAATCGTTCACATCGATAATGATGTTCGTTTCGTTCACCACTTTCTGGCAAAGCTCCTGCAGCCGAGGCGGCTCACTTCGAACTTCCTCAATTATGAACAACTGGCGGTTGTTGCAGATAAACTGCTCGCACAGTTTCTGCAGTGGTTGAGGCTGTGGAAGCAAGTCGTTTGCCAGTAAGTACTCGTAGCAGATTGTTCGCAGCGGTGGAACTCGTTGGTAATCGTATAGCACACGGTAGCATTCAAAGGCTGCGTTTGTCAATTCTTGTAGTGATAAAGGATTGAAACAAGGCGGCGATTCATCCTGCTCCATTGACTCGCACGACTCAGTTTTTTCAATAAAGGGCACCCACTGCCCCTCAAGTGTTGACGAAGGAGTATCAACTACAATTTCTTTAGATGTATCGTTCACTTCTACTACAGTCTCCTCTACAGGCTTCGGTTCAACCTGTTTTGAATCGCCAACGATTACGGACACTCTTTCACATTCTGCAGTGGAAACCTGCTCCACAGGAGCCGGTTCAAATACGTCATCACCCTCGTCGGCGTCATCGCTGTCTTCTACTTCTATCACAGAGACGTTACCAGCTTCTTGTTTGGAATCATCCACGAATGCAGATTGCTCTTTTGGTTCAAAAACGGTTTCGGCCACAACAGGGACAGTTTCGCTTGCTTGTTTTGGTTGGTCCAGATTCTCTTCTTCAATGTCTGATACCTGCTCCTCTAAATACGTATCATTGCTATTGCCCACAGAAGCCTTTTCCTCAATGACGGATTCATCATTTATTTCATTCGCAATGTTTTTGCTAATAACCTCGTTTTCGGCTTCTTGTTCATTTTCCTCTACCACATCGATAATGCTTTTGCTTGGTAATACCTGCTCTTTGGGCGATTCTTCTTCTACATCCTCAATTGTATTCTCAGTAATTGGACCTTGGACTTCGCATTGTTCAACACGTACCTCTTCCTGAACTTGCTGTTTTTCAGTTGATTGCGCTTCGTCTTCCTGTTCCTCGCTAGTGACTTCCGCGCTTTGAGCTTTACTGTTAATCGACGCAAGCTCCTCTAAGTACTCCTCTTTATGCACGGAGGCTTCCTCAATTGTATTCTCAGTAATTGGACCTTCGACTTCGGGTTGTTCAACACGTACCTCTTCCTGAACTTGCTGTTTTTCAACTGATTGCGCTTCGTCTTCTTGTTCCTCGCTACTGACTTCCGCGTTTTGAGCTTTACTGTTGATCGTCACAGCCTCCTCTAAGTACTCATCTTTCTGCACGGAGGCTTCCTCAATTGTATTCTCAGTAATTGGACCTTCGACTTCGCATTGTTCAACACGTACCCCTTCCGGAACTTGCTGTTTTTCAGCTGATTGCGCTTCGTCTTCCTGTTGCTCGCTAGTGACTTTCGCGTTTTGAGCTTTACTGTTAATGGACGCAAGCTCCTCTAAGTACTCCTCTTTCTGCACGGAGGCTTCCTCAGTTGTGTTCTCAGTAATTGGACCTTGGACTTCGGGTTGTTTAACACGTACCTCTTCCTGAACTTGCTGTTTTGCAGCTGATTGCGCTTCGTCTTTCTGTTGCTCGCTAGTGACTTCCGCGTTTTGAGCTTTAATGTTGATCGATGCAAGCTCCTCTAAGTGCTCATCTTTCTGCACGGAGGCTTCCTCAATTGTATTCTCAGTAATTGAACCTTCGACTTCGGGTTGTTCAACACGTACCTCTTCCTGAACTTGCTGTTTTTCAGCTGAGTGCGCTTCGTCGCCCTGTTCCTCGCTACTGACTTCCGCTTTTTGCACGGAAGCTTCCTGCTCAGTTTTGGCATTTTCAGCTGCTTTTCTTTCCGCCAATTCCTTCCTTCTTGCTAGGTCCTCTTTCGCGTAGCGTCTGTACTCCCGCGAGTTCAGTGTCGCTACGCAAACACTGAACAACGTCTTGGGATTGAACTTGGGCTGAACCTTCGCTTTCGGTGCCCTCGTATTGCAGTGGAAGTCTTCGATATTCGATTGCCGCGCCCTCTTGGGAAAACGTGGATAATCGCAGTTATCAAAGTGGCGTTTCCGGAACTTTGGAATGTATTCTGGAATTTTGAAGCTATCTTCGACTTTTTGCTTCGATTCTATCTCCTTCACTGTGTTTATCTGTTCATCTTGTTTCGCCTTTTCCTCCAGCTGAACTACCATCGGATCATTTTCTTTTACCTTAGGTCCCTCTTCAGTCACCTTATCTTGCAAATCCTCCATCGGTTTTGCCGGTTGTTCATCATCATCATCATCATCATCCAAAACGATCGTCGGCATTGACTGTTCGTTCTTCTTCTCTTCTTCCTTCTTTCGCTCTTCGTAGACTACTTCCGATTCCAACTCAGTTTGATAGTACTTATCTCTGTTGGATTCGATCTCCTCCAAGAATTTTAATGAATCGGCACTATCGTGGATCGATACTACGTTCTTCGGCAGTTCGTTGATCACGCTAAGGTGTTTGTACTTGTTCAACTCCGAGTGTGGTACATCGTACGTCTCCAAGATGTACAACTTTTCGCCTACTTCGGTGGTTTCCTGACCAACCTTCGGTGGTTCTTCTTTGGTTTTTTCTAGATCGATCAAAATATCCGGCAGATTTCCCGTGCCGTTCTGAATGTTAGCAACGATCACTCCACTGTGCAGAGGCGGTAGTTCTTCTTCTAGCGCCTGTTGTAGGTACTTGCAGGATTCAAAGTTCTGATGAGCTGGTTGATTGTTGTTGGATTCCTTTCTGTCAACTCCGGTGGCACTGTTGGCGGTGTCCTCCTCTTCGGTTTCGTTCCAACTGCTTAGGTAATCGCGGAGGTTTTTGTCCTTCAGGTTCTCATCCATGGTGAAGCTGCGAGCTCCCATGACGAATTCATCCATAGTGGAGTAACCGTAGTTGGTTAGATTTGCCGGGTGGTTGGCGTGAGCACCATTCGGAACATACCCGTCGGAGGATGCAGATGCTGAGGATGAGGTTTTGGAATGTAGGTAACGATTCATGAGGTACTTTTGCTGACAGTCGTAGCTCAGGGCGTGGTTTGTGTCGTAGGTGGTTGTATCTCGGCTGCCCTTGAGGATTTTGACACTGTTGATCTGCTCCTCCAGATCGATCAAGGGATGGTTCATGTCGATGATGGGATTTGGGGTGTCGTAGTAGCAGCTATTGGCGGATTTTTGCGAGGGTTGCGAAGTTGGGATCGCGTGGGAAGTGGGTTTCGGTGGGTTCATAGGTGGCACGATCGTTTGGGATGTGTATTTGATACCGTAGTGGGGGGTGTGATGAACGGTTGACGTTGGGGGATTGGACAGTGGGTTGGGATAGTGGTGAGCAGGGTTTGTGGGGACATTTGGACTGTAGAAATCGTTGATTGATTTGCTGAACGATAGTTTCTGGTTGGGAGGATAGCTAAGGTTTGTAGCGTGACCGGGGTAGTTTCCGTAGGCCTGTTGACCATGGTGGCCGTCGTTGAAGTGATGCGAAAGGGTGTGATGTCGAGATCTGTGATGATAGGGATCATCATAGGTAGGATTGTGATTTATGGTGTAGTTTTGATGATGGTAACTTGACAGAGCGGGGTTTTGATGATGATGATGATATGCAGACCGGTTCGGTAGGTAGTGGTTGGCCTGGTGGGCATTCAATGGTGGAGCTTGTTTAATGTAGCTGCTGTTGAAGTAGTCCACGTTGGGGTTTAAAACACTTTTACTGCTCGGTTGAGCCGTTGTGTAGTAACCTGCCGCTGGTGGCATGTAGCCACTAGTGAAGTTATTAGGATATCGAGATCGTTCGTTGTACATGAGATCATGGTGACTTTGTGAATGGCTAGCAGAATGAACCTGATGGCTGCGTCCGTAGCGATTGACTTCGTCTATCACCGGATACTTGTTGCGTACGATATGTGGGTAAGGTTCGTATCCATGGTGACCATTCGGTTGCTGGATTGCAGTTGCCTGCGCCCCTTCTGGATGGTACAATCCGTAGTTATGTTGGTAGTGCGCAGTAGGCGATGGTTGTTGACTGGATTGAGCAAAGTCCTGCTGGTATCGATAGCTGCTCCGACTCGAATGATATTTGTTAGGATTTTTAGCCTCAAAATTAGTGATTACACTGCTGTCGTGAGCAAATTCACCGATCCCGCTATGGGAGGAACCATTACCCGCCCAACCATGGGTAGTCCCAAACTTAGTGTTTAGGTCATTCAATGCACCCACTCCGGAGATCTTTGCCTGATAGGAATACGGATAGGGTGGTGCCATAATATTATGATTGTTATTGCTAATGTTAATAATCGTTGGATTGGTATCACCGTCTTTGTTGAACGAGATCTGTGCGTTACCACCGGTGGTCGAAAATTGGGTATTTCCGAGCAGGTCCGTTTCCGGGCCACCCGTGATGGCGGCCTGTGTCGGGTTTAACCCTTGGACGCCGTTCGTGCCCAAACTCCCACCGCTAATATTATTCACAATGTTCGTGTTAATGTTATTGATATTGTACGTTATACTATCGCCTGTATTGGTTTCAAACTTCCGCGAAGTGAATTCAATACTCTTACTATTGTTAACGTTATTACCGTTGCTGACGTTGCTATAGTTACTACCGCTATTGTTTGCACAGAGGGCGCTGGTCGCATCGAATAGTCCGGCAGTGTCATGGTACAGACCACTACCTATGGGATTTGACTCGACATGCTGTCCCTGCACCTGCTGCTGCTGCTGTTGCTGTTGCTGTTGCTGTTGCTGTTGTTGTGAACCGTAGCCTATTGTTGGCTGTTGTTGATGCTGATGCTGCTGCTGTTGGGGTAAAAATAACTGAGGATTACCACCTTGCCCTGTGCTGGCTTGCGGCGGCGGTGGCTGGGGAGGGATCTGCGGCAGGTGATGATACTTCACATTGGTATTTGGCAGAACTCCATTCCCGGGGAAACTGTTAGATATGTCCGTAAACAGCCCATGATGTTCCATTGCGGTGAATGTAGCGATTTCCGAGTGCTCCCTATGGTGGTGTGTCAGATCATTGATTGAAGTTGTTCTGGAACGGGAATGAAAGAGAAAAAAAGATAGGATAAGGTCAGTTCCGGTGCAGCACAAAAGCGAAAGTCGAACGATTGCGGTGGCCTAATCCTGTCTGACGACGACGACGACGCCGCGCTGCCGACAATAATAACGCCCTGGCGGGGAAAAGCGACAGCAGCCGCAGCAGTTGGCCGTGGTGTAATTATTCAAAATATATGTCAAATCAATTATGATGAATTATTTAAGGTGGATTACTATCTATGATGGAAGGTCGGTAGAACATGTGTGTGCCGTGTTTTCGTTCAGTTTCGTTCGCACAGCTCAACATGGTACACGTCCGAACGAAGGTGAGGTACATGCATGAGGATGATGATGACATGGACAATATCGCGTGAGGATTTCCGGTTGGGACACTACCGACGGGTGCAATATAATGGAATGTCCAGAGGAATATAAATGGAAAAGCGAGCGAGTGACCGAGCTACGACGCGTGCCGAGGGTAGGAGGAAAATTGTGCCATTAAGGACTTCGGGGAAATGGCTATTGCTATCGCGGCTGGGGATTTCAATATTGATTAGCCGTTCGCTTTCGTTCTGGTGTGCTGTCCGTTGTTCGGCAATTGCGTTCCGACGATAGTTGCGGGTGTCAAATGTGAATCAATTTAACTACGGCAAGTGTTGGTGTAGTTTGGAAGTTGGAATTTATTGAAATTGAAAGTGAGGCTCATGACAAATTTATCGGCAGACAATTGGTGATGATATTGGGAATCTAAGCACATTGTGGAGCACAGTCCATTTAGGTCCGATTTATTTACTTGAACTTTAATCTTAAATTAGGTTTACACATATGTTGGGACCTATGTTCTCTCGTTTTTCTGAGGTCGCTTGACGATGTAAAATTTCTATTCATATTTATACCCTTCGAAGTGTTGAAACACCCTCCAAAGGCTCGCCCCTTTGTCGGTCAAAATTGGATTCCTTAGCAACAAAATTAAGGTATGACACCGATAATGCCCATGCATCAGAACCCTAGTCTTAACCATTTCAAACTAGGGAACAACGAATAGAAGATTTTTTCCTTGTTTCAAGATCATCCTCGTTAGACAAAGCCGAGTCTTGTCACTATCAACAAGGCATAAAAAGTAACAAGGACTAAGATGTGTTCTTTGGATTACTGAAAAATCCTGTTCCCCTAGTTTGAAGTAGTCAGGACTAGGAATCGGTGGTAGATCTTACATCCCGTAACGTACCACGAAAAGGTGATCTACCCACGTTACGGGGTAATACAGACGTTTAACAGAATATAATTGTTGCCACATGTTATAACATGTGTACTAGTATACTTTTGCATTTAGATGTTTGAATCGTAGATAATGGATGGTATGATATTTTATAAAATCTAACAAACACGCATTTGTTTAAATAATCTGTTCAATTGTGTTTTCAACAATATTGGCTCTTTACTGTAGCTCCATAGTTTTCATACATATGACGCTAAAATTGTGTCTATTTTGAATCATTTGTTGTTCTTCCGTTAGATTCAAATGTCATAAAGCAAATTATTAAATTTGCAAAATTTGAAAGTTTTGCTGAACAGCGCTCAAATGGCTTCAAATTGGGTCCTGACATGTCTCTTAAAATTTGAACTAATTTGGCAACAAACTCATTTGGCCAAAACGATTTTAAGTTTATATTTGTTTATTTGTATATTGAAAGATAGATCCGAGCAGGCTCTGCCCGCGAACGGTCGGTTTAGTTTTCGCTGGCGCTGATTTCATCTGTTTTCCGCATATTTTTTAATTGTACCAAATCAAAAAATATTACTTTTCACGTATGGACAAGTGTAAATTAAGATCTATCACGTTTTAAGAAGTTTGTTTAGTGATATTGGTGAAAAATCTGGGACAAGAATTTGTTTCGAGTAGCTGTGTTGCTGTTTTATCGCGTTGGTCGGTTTTTCTTTTCGATTGCTTTTTGGTGCTTTGCCTCCCTCCCAAGAAGAGTTTTACCGGGTTTTTTTCTTTTCTGGTGCTGGCGTTCTGCCTTCCGGAGGATGCACGCAAATGAGGTGTCAGGCAAATGAAAAACTTCGCGTGTGATTCAAAATGTCGTGTTCGATTGTAAAAACAACGCGGATGATTTTTTCGATTACCGCGAGTGAACAAACCGGTGCTTTTTCGGAGGCAGAATTTGGTGAGATCCTTCTGATTTATAATCAATCATAAATGCATATTTCTATATATTACTAAATACGAGCCAGATTTCAAAACATCACATTTCGAAATCTGGAAGTGTGTTTGCAGTACCGTTATTCATATGATAACGGTAGTGTTTACATGCGGGGCTTATTGTATGTGAAAGTAACCTCGGAATGGACGTGAATTACCAGGCATTCTGAAATGGGTTGCTGGATCTGCAGTAAAGCTATCGCTTTCTAACTCCCGGACTAAACTTGCTTTAAATTATTATATCAAGGATTGTTGTAAGCAAATTTCTTGCATAATACCACTGCTGGCCAGTGGGGGTTAGATTGAACACACACACACACACACACACACACACACACACACACACTCACACACACACACACACACACACACACACACATACCACACACACACACACACACACACACACACACACACACACACACACACACACACACACACACACACACACACACACACACACACACACACACACACACACACACACACACACACACACACACACACAAACACACACACACACACACACACACACACAAACACACACACACACATACATACATACACACACACACACACACACAAACACACACACACACACACACACAGACACAGACACACACAGACACACACATACACAGACACACACAGACACACACACACACACACACACACACACACACACACACACACACACACACACACACACACACACTCACACACACACACTCACACACACACACACGCACACACACACACACACCGAGAGATTTTTGATAATTTTGTAGGTCTGTTTGCACATTAATCCGGACACATTCAAATCACTGTTACTTTTGAAATATTGCACGTAGGAGTGAAAAATTTCGCTGAGCTGTAACTGGGAGTCATTTATGAAAAAGACTTTGTCTGATGCTTAGTGTTCAACCCTAGCAGCACACTTGTCACTGAAAAGCCGGTGTAACTTGATTGCAACTTATTCCAGTCACAATAAAATTGCAGCAACCTATTTTGATGGAAGTGTGTTGCTTGGGAAGATGGCGACGAATGAAAAACATGTTCTACTTTTCTTTTATTTAACGTCGGTCTCTGTTCCGCAATCTAGTGCCAATCACCGACGGACATCGATTGCCATCCATTGACGGCAATCGAATGTGCAGGAAGGCGAAGGCAGCTTCCACACCTGCGTAGGATATCGCACCCATTCAAACACACATGGGCCGGGACCAACGGGTTTACTTTCCTTCCGAAGGAAAACGTGACCAGAGATTTTTATGCCTCAGAAAAATCCCACCGACCTCGGCTGGGATTGAACCCAGACCTATTGGGGTGAGAAAGCAGTCACGCTTACCACTACACCACCGGCGCCGGCAAATGAAAAACATGTGCGAGAGCGGATTTTGTACGGACGTAATGCAAATCCTGACTTGTCAATACGGGAACTTGCAAAAACATTGGATTTTTCCAAATCCACTATTGACGGTTTGCTCAATTTTGGAACGTTTGACGGTCGAGAGGAAACCGAGAAGTCAAGACCAACAATTGAAATGGCCTTAACTCCATTTTGTAAACAAACCTTGTAAGGCCATTTTCTCGCGAACCGAACTCCGCAAAGGCAAACTAACATAATCGACAGGTAGGGGAAATTCTCCTCTACCCGATTGTGGTTTAGGTTTGCGAATGAAGGTTTCGGTTCGCGAGAAAAAGGGTCTTACAAGGTTTGTTTACAAAATGGAGTTAAGGCTATTTCAATTGCTGGTTTTGAAGTGATTAAAACATTGGACAAACTGATCCTGTCATGGACCGAAAGGTGCAGAGGATATTGAAGGATTACCCGAATCTCTCTGTTCGAACAGTGGCTCGTAAAATAGGAACACACTTAATCTAGCTCAGTAAAATTTCCAACAGCCGATTACTTCGGCATTTACTTTTGCTGATATCTCTACAAAATATCTGTTTGTTTGCTGATATCTCAGCAAAATGTTATTTGTTAGCTGAGTCTCGGCAATTGTTTCACTGAATCTCAGCAAAATAAATTTCAGAATTACTCGACTATTGGAATCTCGGTGAAAATTTTTAAGTGTGAATGTCACCTGATTTTGTCCAAAAATCAAAACAGCGTTTGGGGCTGAAGTCGTATAAAGCAGTTCCAAATCGCAACGGCAATCAGTATTTGACAGCAAAATCACGGGTTCGACGTTACTTGGACTTTAATCTTATTTTATTCGGCGAGAAATCGGTGATTGAAGTGTTTGTTTACAAAAGCAATTACGCCCAAATCTCAAATCTCTCCGGAAGTTTTCAATCGTGAAATTTGAAAACAAATATTTTTTCTTGATGATAACATTAAAAATTACTTGCAATTCACACTCAATGAAACTCAATATGCCGTAAGTCGATAGTCCCTTGAATATCAAGTAAGGGAGAGTTGACTGTATCCTGATGTTTTTCGGAGTTAGAGGATTTGAAAATTTCGATGTTTGATCCTATTTAGAATCTTTAAATCTTAATTCTATATCTAGGGTATCGATCAATTTTTAGCCAAAAGTAAAATTAAATAGTTTTTACTTAATTGGTGATCTTTATACTGGATCAAGCAATAAGATATGATTAACAAGTTTGGTTTTCCTATACAAACTTTATATGGTTTGTGCCAAATCATTTTTCAACCACACGAATACAAAATTTGTACCAGTCTATTATTGCTAATGTTATTTGCTCATGAATCTGTGTAACTTCAGCCTTCACATTCTGTTTGTATAAACCTACTGTAAGACCGTTGTAACAATTAA